GTCAAACTGTCAATGGATGAATCAGGAGAACCTGTAAATGATAAAATGTATAGGGGGATGATAGGGTCTTTGTTGTATTTGACTGCTAGTCGGCCAGATATAATGTTCAGTGTCTGTGTATGTGCACGCTTTCAGAGTTGTCCAAAAGTCAGTCACCTATCTGCTGTGAAAAGAATTTTTCGATATCTTGTAGGAACTACACACCTAGGTTTGTGGTATTCATGTAATTCAAGTCTTGAGTTACTGAGTTACAGTGACTCAGACTATGCTGGGTGTGTTATTGACAGAAAAAGTACTTCAGGGGCGTGTCATTTTCTTGGTACATCTCTGATTTCTTGGTCAAGTAAAAAGCAGAGTTCTGTTGCATTATCTACTGCAGAAGCAGAGTATATAGCAGCAGGACTAAGCTGTACACAGCTATTATGGCTGAAATATCAGCTTCAAGATTATGGACTAGTCATAGGAACTCTTCCTGTATTATGTGATAATACTAGTGCGATTAATATGACTAAGAACCCTATCCAGCACTCTCGTACTAAGCACATTGAAGTGCGGTATCACTTTATAAGAGATCTTGTTCAAGACGGAAAAATACATCTGGAATTCATTGGTACTGATATGCAATGGGCTGACATCTTTACAAAACCTCTAGGATCAGACAGGTTTTTGTCAATACGACATGAGCTTGGCATGTTTTCTCAGAATGAGATTACTTCATCCTAGCTGATCTGATTGACTTATTCTGGTTGATTGATTGTCATTGATTGATTTGTTTGAATAATTTCGAATATTTACTTAACAAAATTTGAGATGGTGCGACTGCAAGTCAATTAATTCTTTCCATTCCCGAAGAGTTTCCTATTATATACTCACCCTGTGGGTATAAAGTTAGGGCAACTCTTCCTCTTCTTACCCCATCTCCCACTGATTTCAAAACATATCGTTGAAGCCACTCTCACTCTCAAAACTGCTCAAATGGCCTCCACTCGTGGTCAGTTGCATGCTAACGCTCTGTTCAAAAATCAGAGCTTTCGCAATGCTGCTACCTATTCACGATATCTTCGTAGATTTCGAGATCGTCCTCTTTATCCCTCCTTCTTCATTCAGCCTTCCACCTTCTCAAAATATGAGATCAATATCCCTGCATATCTTCAGAACCTGGGATGGAGCTCTCTGGTCGAGAACTTACGTTTCAGCCAGTGTCCTGAAGCTGTTCGCCTGTTCTATGTTAATCTTCGATGTGGTCCAGGGAGTGATCCTACCTATTTCACCACATTGGTGTATGACTATGAGATCAAAGTCACACCTGACCTGTTAGCTACTATTCTGGGACTTCCCCATGATGGCTTGCGGGCTGGATCTGATAGTGATTTTCATCACTTTGGTTTCCGATTTGATGAAACTCTGAAGTCTCTAGCATATGATGTTGGTCGCTGGTTTCCTTCCCAGCTATCTGTTGGGCGCATGCCTGATGATCTAAAGGTGCTTCACTTCTTCCTGACTCGATGCTTTCTTCCTCGAGATCTGTCCAGTACCGACCTTCTCCATTCTGCTGATCTTTGGGTGTTGTCCAATGCCCGTGCTGGGCGCCGGATCAGTTTTGCATCTCTTATGTTCTGCCACATGATCCGGTTTGGAAATGAGTATTATAGTGGGCCTTTGCCTTTTGGCCCCCATATCACTCGTTTTATATCGCGTCTGGGTATTGACCTACGTGATAAGGTCATTGTCTGTGATATTCTCGACGATCTTCGTCCTCAGCATGTGCTTGCTCGTCTTGATGCTCTGGTTGGCCCTCGTAAGCCTGTCATTGGCTCAGGGGGAGTAAGCAACCAAACTGCTATCGAGCAGGCTTCTGCTTCTGCTACTGCTTTGGTGGATGCAGCAGCTGCAGCTTTCAAGCATGTTGCGCATTCTGTGTGTGGACCTAAACAAAAAACTTGGATTGAAAAGGATCTTTTGCTGCCTAGGTTCGTGTATGAATCTAATCAGATTAGTGATCCAATTAGTTCAGATTCAGATGATGAAGACAGAATCTCAGACTATGCATCGCCACCTAAATATCCCTTTTGAGTAGTCTAGAAGGAAGGGGTGTTAGGATCTCCACAGTTGATCGACTGAGTAGTTAAGGGATTTTACTTGATGTAATCGGAGTCATGTGTTTGCTTAAGTCATTAATAAAATAAAAATGGGTTATGTTTTGCAAACTTGGTTTGGACAGGCTGCACCAATGGTGTGTTAAGTGTGTGCAGGTTGCAGGTTTGAGCCATTGACAAGCTTAGGGGGAGAATGTTGGCGAAAGCTTGCTCAACGACTCAAAAGGAATAAATTATCAGAGGAGCTAAAGAAGGAAATCCGAAATTCTATCCAAGTAATTTGGGAAAGTCAACATGGAATCAAGATCAAATCACAATCACAGTGATTGAGCAAGGATGACCTAACGGTCACAGGCTTGGGGATACTTAAGAGGGAAACAGGGGAGTTGGAAAAACAACTTTTGTTCCGGGAATTTTCAAACAGAGAGATAGGAAAGGTCTGGGTTTGAAAGTGAACAAAAGAGGGTTCTTAGAGCTGTCAGGGAGAGAGTTCTAATAGATCAAGTACTCTTGAAGTGGAACAAGTGACGGGGAGTCAGGGTTCCAGGGGGAGTCTGATTGAGAGTGACAGGGAGTCACAGGGAAACCATTTATGTACTCTGTAAACTGAACGACAACATCCATAGTAAATCGTCAGAGGGCTCAAACCGAGTGCCTTTGGCCGTGGACTAGTCGATACTGATTTATCAGTATCGGAAACCACGTAAAAATTCTGGTGTCGTGTTCTGAATTCTTATTTGCTAACTCTGGTGTAGTTGAGTCTCTGTTCTGGCAAGTACTCTGGTTTTGCAGGGAAGGAATTCTGGTTCAAGGAGAAGAACAGGGACGAAGATCAAAACGTTGGCGTTTTGCGAAAAGAAGACAGTCAAGGAGCTGGGCTGTTCTTTAGTGCTGCTCGACTTAGAGGATTGGGCTTAGGCCCAAATAATTCGCAACCTGCTCATCCACTTAAACGTTTTCAATACAGTTTCTTTTCGATCAAAAGTTACGCTGCTTACCAAACCTTTCAATCCCTAATTCACAATCTAATTAGGGTTCTTCTTTTGTTCCACGAGAAACACTCGAAAAGCAGGGAAAGTCTCGCGCTCGACCGATTCAACACGAACTGATTTGCCAGTATAGTAAGTAGGTGATTCGACCAGTCCGGCCTACCGGTCAGTTGGTTCGGTTATCATAACAATACAAATTAGAATAATTAATTAAGCACTATCTAGCACCAAATTTAATTATTCGTTGCTTAACTCAATGACTATGATTTTCAGCCATATATATATTTTTTAAAGAATTGTTCCTTGGACTATACTTTGTGGGTTGTGGTGTGACTTGTTCTTCTTCTTCATCATCTCCAAGTATATACATCATCAAATATATTCCCCGCACGAAAGCAATATCAGCCTGGAACCTGTCAAATTAAGAGGGACTTCCTAATCATGGCCCCTACCTGGCCTTAAATGTCACTTCAAATACATATATGAAACATAATAATTTAATTAGGATCCTAATGAAGACCGTAAAATTACTAATTAATTGATTAAGCTCCTATTGTTTTTGCTAATGACGATGCTTTGAACCTAGCCGGTTAACCATAGGGAGGGAAATAGAACAGTGTAAGGAAATGGAATTGGAGCCTGTTTGGAGGAATTTTTGAAACGTACGAATTTGTGACAGGACATTATTCTTGTAATGCCAACTCAGAGAGCACAAACTCGAAGAAAGGTTAGCGCAGCCAAATGACAATGTTAATTGATTGTTCCACCATTTTAACTAGAAATATGCACACGTATACAAACATATATGGTGCCATGGTCTAATTATGATCGATATTGCAATAGTTTAACACTTTAAACAATCAAGGTAAAAGCCTAAAAGGGGTGAGCACATTCTCTTAAACAGGATTCGAGCTACAGATCATGTATCAGGTTTACCGAAGGTAGAATATGATGCGTTAAAATTGTGATATCATTTGGTAGAACCAAGGGCGAACCCACGCTTTGTTTAGGCTTGTCACTTGACAAAGCTTAACTAATAAAATGGACCAAATTAGTATGTGAAAATATATATTGTTGTTGGTAGAATTTGAATCCTGGTCAATTTGACAACCGTTAGAAGTCAGAATTTCCCTTATACCAGCATTCAATTGTTGTTACAAGAATAAAAAGCAAATATCTAAGGAGCCAAATTAATTCTTAATTCGTAAATTATCATTCCCAACTCTATTGCGAATTCTTCCTATTGTTGAGATGACCTTTTTCAGTGTAAAATTCATCAAGAATGATCTTCGAAATCGGATGGGAACCAATTTATGAACGATTTTCTAGATACGTTCTTTGAAAAATAATGCGAGTCGCAAGATAAGTGATGAATCTAATATAGAAAATTTTCAAAATATGAAAACACATCGTGGTTCGCCGTAAACCCCCCCCCCCCCCCCCCCCCCCCGATGATGAAATCATAGTCGGAAAAAAGCCACCTAAATCTCCTAAATTTGAGTTGGATTGAGTCCTAGATCACACAATATAATCAAATATACTCGCCATTAATCGATACAAGCAAGCTAAGCAATCCACACATAATTAGATACATATGGTTAAAAAAAAAAAACGAGTTCTCTTCTCTATGATCCAACCCATTGAGTTAAGTAGTTAACATAACAAAGGATTTGAAATGAGAACAAACATTTTCCCCAAAGTAGCCCAACGAGGCGCCCACTTCATTATACAACCCACCAACATGACGTGCATTCATCGTAGCAATAAACACCACCACCACATCCTACAATTATACAATACACCACACACCACTCGCTCGATCCCTTCCTAAGGAAAAGAAATCCCACCGGAAAATGCCAAATTCTACATTACACTCCATCCCAAACCCAAACCTCTAAAACTACCTATAAATAAAACCCATTATTCCAAACCTCCCTTCTCCTCCAAATCCAACCATCCTCCCTCTCTCTCCCTCTCTCTCTCTCTCTCTCTCTCCATCGCCTGAACACAACAAAAAAAATGGAACCGCCGCCACCGCCGCTCGACTTCGACGCCGACCACCACTCCTCAACCCACCAACTAAACATGGACAACCTCGTCGCCGTCAAGGTCCTCGGGCAGGGCGCCATGGGGACGGTCTTCCTGGTCCACGACCGGGCCGCATCCGGCCCATCCGCCGCCAGCCCATACGCCCTCAAGGTCGTCGACAAGGCCCAATTCCTCCACTCCCACTCCCGGTCCGACGCCGAGCGCCGGGCCCGCTGGGAGATCCGGGTCCTGACCCGACTCGCCCGCTCCCGCCACCCGTTCCTCCCTCGTTTAGTCTCCTCCGCCGAGACCCCCGAATTCCTCGCGTGGGCCCTCCCCTTCTGCCCCGGCGGAGACCTCAACGTCCTCCGCCACCGCCAAAACGACCGCGTTTTCTCCCCCGCCGCCGCCAGGTTCTACCTGGCGGAAATCCTCTGCGCGCTGGAGCACCTCCACGAGCTGGGGATCGTCTACCGGGATCTCAAGCCGGAGAACATTCTGATCCAGCAGTCCGGTCACGTGACCCTCACGGACTTCGACCTCTCCCGATTCCTCGGCCGGAGGAGGAGGAATCGAAGTACGGCCAAGTCAGAAGTTGAAATTAGGTGTGTATTTTCTTTTTTCAGAATAGAAAATTATTTCAATTGAATTTTCACCTAATAAATTAATTTATGACAATAAGTGAATTTTAGTGTTAGTTCACACATTTCCATATTGCATTATCGTTTTACCAAATCTTACATGTGTCTCGTGACAGAGCCAAATCGACGGACGCCGGCGATTTCCTCCCTCCGAGGAAGAGCAGAGTGGCGCGGTGGTGGATGCCGGCGGCGGTGGTCCCCGTCGGCGACGAGAAGGGTTTGTTGAAGAAGACGAATTCGGCGAGGATTGCTCCGGTGAGCCACCGGAGGAAGGAGGCAGAGGGAGAGAGGTCGAATTCGTTCGTCGGGACGGAGGAGTACGTGTCGCCGGAGGTGGTGCGAGGGGAAGGTCACGAGTTCGCCGTCGACTGGTGGGCCCTGGGGGTTTTGCTCTACGAGATGGTGTACGGGACGACGCCGTTTAAGGGGAGGAACCGGAAGGAGACGTTTCGAAACGTGTTGATGAAACGGCCGGAGTTCGTCGGGAAGCTGGGGAAGGATCTGACCGACCTGATCGAGCGGCTGCTGGAGAAGGACCCGGCGAAGCGGCTCGGGTACGCGGACGGAGCGGCGGAGATCAAGGGGCACGCATTTTTTAAAGGGGTGAGGTGGGACCTACTGACGGAGGTCTGCCGGCCGCCGTTTATTCCGTCACGGGACGAGACGGAAGGGTCGTGCCCGGGGATGATGCCGGCGGCGGCGGGGGGTGTGGATATAAGGGAGTATTTCGAGAAGCTGAGGGCGCCGCCGGTGTCGCCGTTGTGGTCGCCGTCGTCGGAGTTTCATAGAAATGTTTCGCTGGCAGAGTTCTGACCACCACCACGCACGTGCGGCGGAGGCCCACGTGTAAGGGATATATATATATATATATATATGAATTAGTTTAGTTTAGTGTATTATTCTCATTATTATCTCTCTGTAGTTCTGTGTACATAAAATAATTGCGTCGGTTTAAAACAGAATTGACATATATATTAACCGGGCACAGTTAAAAAAAGTTACTTATGATTAGTTGCTAATGACCTGCCTTCTCTCCAAAAATAGACTTTCAACTCTTAACGTTGTCGAACCAGAATATTTGTTTCTCTAATTGATGTTTTATATATCATTTGCAAACAAAAATGTTATTGCCCACAAGAAATCAATATGGGAAGGTATCAACCAGTATATTAAAGTTATTGTATGAAGGTTAGCGTTGATTATCTTTCTATAGGAGACTTCCTAACAGGAAATTATAGATCGAGTCAGTATATAAATAAGAAGTGATCTTGTACCACTTTGACGTTCAAACAAAATGTCTATTGCATCATGCTTGACAAAGACAACGATTAAACGAAGTTGTGATTCAACAGCCATTATGCAACTCTATTGTTTTCCTGTATGTATGTTTACCCATGGGGTTGTTAAGAGAATAGTGGAAATTAAGGATGATTAATAATTATTAGAAGGAAAGAGAAATATGGGTTTGGAATGATTACTAGACAAAATAGTCTGAAATCACGGGCTTAAGCTAAGGGAGTCTCGAGTCTGAGGTCTTTAGTGTTGGGCCTTTCATTAGATTAGCTAGGGCTCCTTTTATGAAAGTTGCCTTTCTAATTCCCTTTTCATTTTGGTCGTCTACCATTCCTGACTTCCATAGTTCTATTTCTTCACCAAATATAGTGGTTTCTTCGTTATATTGCATCGGGTGGTGTTGATATCACTTGAATCGGACTATTTGGCTACGATTGAAAGTTATGGGACTATAAATACTTCTCATACTCTTCTGTAATCTGTGTCAGAACAGAAGCGTGCAATCGATAATCCAAACCAACACGAACGAACACGAATTTAACGTGGTTCACTAACACAATGTGTGCTAGCTAATCCACGAGCAGGAGAGAACAAATTTCACTGATTTGAGGAGAGTACAGGTTACAAACCAAATTCCGGAACGGACAAACCAAACAAACTAACCTGACTGACCTTACTACAGACTAGGGTGATAAAGAGTATTTATAGAACTCTTCTCCTAATCCCAAACAGAAAACCAAACACCTTTTCCCAAACATACAAGGAAAAGGCCAAAACAAAACCCAATCCCAAACCCAAACAGAATAGGCCTAAAACACAATACAAACCCAAACCAAATTCAAGTCATATTCTAACAATCTCCACCTTGACTTGAATTCTCTCTCAAATACCAGATGTACCAAACACGATCCATATCGCCAAAGTTACCCAGACGCGATCGTAATCGCCAGATATCCAGATGTGATCGAAATCACCAAACTCAAACGCGATGCAAATCGCCAAACTCAGATGCAATCAGAATTGCTAGACGTTGTAACTCCTCCAAATCAGCTGTACCAGAATCTCCCCTGCCTCCAAATGCCCCTAAGGGCGGTCAACAACTCAAACCATTTGGCAAGTCCAATCCATATTGAGACTTGCCATTCGGAACCAGCTTGGTGCACTTTTCACCAACAGAACATGTCAAAACAGAACCTTGTAGATTATACAAGGCACCCCGCTTGACACCTTTCAAAATCACCTTAGAACCCTTGTAGACAGACAACACTCCACCTTCACCTTTGAAACTGAAACCCTTGCTGTCTAGTAGACTCAAAGATATCAGATTCTTAGTCATCTCTGGAATATGTCTAACATTGTTCAAGGTGCGAACAGAACCATCATGTGTCCTCATCCGGACGGAGCCTCTTCCAACAATCTTACAGATAGCACCATTGGCCATAGAAACATGTCCTCCATCTATCTGCTCATAAGTTGAAAAACACTCCCTGCTTGGACACATATGATAATCAGCTGCAGTATCTAAATACCACACATCCTGATGATGTAACTGCTCATTCACTGCTAAGGCTAAACCATCTTCAGAATCAGAGTTAGTTTCTTCCGCCACAGCAGCAGATGATTCCTTCTTCTCCTGATATTTCTTCAGTTTAGGACAATCGAATTTCCAATGCCCTTTCTCCTTACAGTAATGACAGATATCATCCTTCAAACCAGCAGAATTCGAATTTGTATTCGCCTTCCTATTACCAGATTGTTGTCTCCTGCTACTCGTAGCAGCCAACCCAGATGCTTGATTTTCCGAACTTGAACCAGACGCCTTATGTCGAACCTCCCTAGTGTGTAGAGCAGATCTGACATCTTCCAAAGACAAACTATCTTTCCCAGCAATAAAAGAATCCACAAAATTCTCATATGACTGTGGCAAAGATACTAACAGAATTAAGGCAGCATCCTCATCATCTACTTTAACATCAATATTCCGCAGATCTAACAAGATGGTATTGAGTTGATCTAGATGATTCCTGAGAGACGTACCTTCCTCCATACGCAAACTGAACAAACGTTGCTTCATATGCAACTTGTTGGTTAAAGACTTTGTCATGTATAGACTTTCAAGCTTCAACCACAAGCCTGCAGCAGTCTTCTCAGTAGCAACCTCAGTGATGATGTCATCAGCCAAACAAAGCAAGATTGTAGAGTGAGCTTTCTCCTCCAAAGTAATCCACTCTTCTTCATCTATACTTTCCTTCTTCGATTTTCCAGACAACGGAGCCCACAAACCCTGTTGTTTCAACAGTGCTTGCATCTTGATCTGCCACAAACTGAAACTGTTTCTTCCAGTAAACTTCTCAATCTTCATACTGATAGCAGTCATTCTTACTATCAATCAAACTCCAACCAAACTTCTCACCAAATACCAATCAAATTATTCCAAAACAAACCAACACTCCCGGACAAATTAACAAATAGTGAGCTAAAAAAATTTAGCTCCTTCCACTCCGAGCTGCTCCTCTGTGCAGTCCAAACCGAACAAATTGAGACCACGGTTGAAATTATCAATTCCAAACAGCGGCCTTATATCTCCAACGCAGATTAATTTTCCAACAATCCCAGAGCTAACCAGCACACCAAGCTAATCACAAAAGAACAAAAATCTTATAATTCCCCGCACAAATTCAATTGGGACAAAAGACAAGAATCCGCCGAAAGCAAAATTTTGGAGAAAATTTGAAGCTGATCCTCCGCCCTTTGTTAATAATCACACTCGGACAAGAATCCGCAGAAACCAACACCCGATCCAAATTTGCGCACAATTTCCCGAAATCTCAACCGCGGCTCTGATACCACTTGTCAGAACAGAAGCGTGCAATCGATAATCCAAACCAACACGAACGAACACGAATTTAACGTGGTTCACTAACACAATGTGTGCTAGCTAATCCACGAGCAGGAGAGAACAAATTTCACTGATTTGAGGAGAGTACAGGTTACAAACCAAATTCCGGAACGGACAAACCAAACAAACTAACCTGACTGACCTTACTACAGACTAGGGTGATAAAGAGTATTTATAGAACTCTTCTCCTAATCCCAAACAGAAAACCAAACACCTTTTCCCAAACATACAAGGAAAAGGCCAAAACAAAACCCAATCCCAAACCCAAACAGAATAGGCCTAAAACACAATACAAACCCAAACCAAATTCAAGTCATATTCTAACAATCTGTATAAGTCATATTATCTCTCTCCTGCCCGTAGACTAGCTAGTTAACACACATTGTGTTAGTGAACCACATCTAAATCTGTGTGTCTCGAGTCATTTCTTGCTCTATAGAAACGATCGTGACGGGTCGGATGTTCATCATCACTATCTCTATGCACCATGCAAGAGGTCTGGAGATTGAAATCAACAATCAATAAAAGGAGATTTGGCTTCCTCAATGCAACTATGAAAAACGGTAAAGAAAAGGAATAGATTATGTTCATTCATTCATTCATCACGATCGTTGGTTGATTAAAAAAACAACTTTTGGGCACTCGAGGAGGTGGTTTGCAAACTGCGAAGAACATAGAAATTACGGTCAGACGGTTTACTTTGAAGTTTGAACTGACTTGCTTTTACGGCAAAGTGAACTTACGGTGAGGAAACTCCATGATCACTTGTAACGTACTCTGACCGACCACCACCTTTCCCTCAACTATATAGTTAACTGTTTGTGGTTAAAAGAAAAGTGGGTTCTTTCAAAGCTATGAAAATGCTGCCGTTAAAGTACTTCTTATGCTGTAGCTTTACACAAAGTGGAAAGAAAGTATATGGTTGAAAGCAGAAACTGAGGAGACTAAACAAAGCTAACCGTTGAAAATATAGGTAAAAGCCAAGCGGTAATGAAATCGTTGTAAACTGCATTGATTTTGATTCTCGGTACGTGGTTTAATCGATACAATGACAATCAATTCATACAGACTATAGAAACAAACTAATTCGTATCTGCCATTTCCTTTGGTTAAAATACTAAAGAGTTTGTTCTATATGAAGGGAACATTGGGGCCATCTTCTTTTCCCAGCAAAGATAGGTCTCATGGCGGGCAAAAGCAGAGAATTAGCTTAGGCTGTTAGGCAGCGTGAGTCGAACGTTGATTTTGGAAATTCTTGTCCCCTATTTTTTTTTTGTGTTTTCTCACACGTTAAGTTGTCTTGTTAGGCGTTTACGACGGATGGAATGTGTTTATTCAATTCTTAATTACCACTTGGTTAATTCACAATTGGGTGCTGATTAGTGTGGTTACTCAGATGATTGTAATTAGCTAATAAACTAGTGTACAAGTCCAACTTGGAACCCTTCAAAGTTCATCCTCCTCGACTATCCCTTTCTTTCCATCGATGAACTGGACTGGCGACTTGTTTTCCCTCCTTACTTCAGAGCTTTTTTAACTGTGGCCCAATTTCAATTCGGTCAGGCCCCTGGACTTACGTTAAATCCGGCCCAAGCCCATGAATGCCAGTTATGTCCACAATCGACCGGCACTTTGAACATTTATAATTATTTAACAACAAACCAAATATATGTGATGTGTATTATGATATATGATTTTATTATCAACCAATCGAAATCCATTATAAAAAGAACACATTTTCATATATCTGTATTCATTAAAAAAACCCAGTTAGTATACTATTAAGAAATTAAAGATATATAAAAAAAAGTAATTAAAGATATACAATACAATTTATCTACGAGAACAAGATTAGAGATAATGCTTAGGTAGGAGTGTGTAACGGTTGGCTTCCGTAGAATTGTGCGTTCCATTCCAATAGTAAAAGAAATCTTAGAAACTAAAGAGCGGACCAACATTTCATTCGGTTTGATTTGGTTTTTTTTTTTTTGGTATGGTACAAAATGTTATTTCGCTTCATTTTTCTTCCCTGTTTATAAAACTTATGGGAGCAAGAACCGAACCACGTTATATTAACAAAGAAAAATGAGGACCAGTACCAAACAAAAAAAAACATTTGACTCATTTGATCCGATCCAAATTCAGTTTACGTCCATTTTTTTATTTATACTTAAAATAATTCATAGACCAAAACCAAACCTAAATTATATATTCGATATGATCTGACTCGCGATCTAGTATGAACCGGATCGTCGCCTAACTCCCAAACAAGGATTCCATCTCCATCATCTCTTTCTTTCTCTCCCTATCATCACCATATTTAATTTGTTCATATATCACATGCGGAACTTCTTCACCCAGAAGGTATTAACTACTTCTGCAATTGAGAGAGAGAGAGTTCGATTTTACACGAAACGAAATCCATAATTACATAAGAAACAAGACTAGAGATGAAAAATGCATGCATATGCATGCACACTTACGTCTGTGCTACTTATAATACGTGATTCCTGTTTACGTACATAGCGACGCCGGTAGGGTTAATAAGCAAGAGACGTACTGGTGGAAGCAACTGTCAATGGCGGAAAAACAGACAAAACCCATATCTCAAATCTGACCGTTATGTGATTTAGGGGGAAACGAGTTTTTTTGTAATTTTGCTTAGTGTTTACAACGTTTGGATCTCAAACGGCTTATCTGCATTTTTCAACCCTTAGTGCAAAAAAAAACGGTATTTGCGTACCGTAATGAAATATGACTCTTCCCATACTCCATCGTCCTCTCTAGCTACCGTTAGTGTAATAATAACTATATATATGAACGAGAAACACACAAAGAAAAGGCATGCATGCAGCTTCATCTTCTTCCTCGTAACTTTCCCTCCTCTCTCAAACCCTAGTTCTTCGTAGCAGCCACACCAAGTTCGGCCGTCACAGACTTTAATTTTCTCACCGTTTCATCTTACCAAAGATGGTGAAACCGGCGCTGCTGTCAACAATCGCGTCGCTCTCCTTCCTGGTCTTGGGATACGGTAAGTCGTCGTTGACCGACTGATCCACCCGCCATTAATCAAAACCATGCATGCATGCAATGGTTACGTTCTTCCTCCAACGTACGTAAAAAATCTGACTCTTAGTTTTTTTTTTTTTTTTTTGGGTCCGTAGATTTTGCGACCTATCGGTACGGCTGGCCATTAATAGCGGAAAATACGGGATCCGGAGCTCGCCACCTCACCATACTGGTGGCCGTCCATCACTTCGCCGCCATCTTGAGTGCGACGGCGGCGGGGGTTTGTGCCGACTTCATCGGCAGGAGATACCCTCTGGCGGCGGCTGGCGCGCTGTTCTGCGTCGGCAACGTGTTCAAGTGCTGCGCCACCAGGTCGTACGGCATTCTTCTGTCCGGCCAGCTGTTCGCCGGCCTGGGTGCCGGAGTAGCCCTTACGGTTGCTCCGCTGTACATCGCTGAGCAGGCTCCGTACTCCCGACGTGGACAGTACACGTCACTTCCAGAGGTACGTGCGTAGTTAGCACTAGCCAACAAACCACAATTGGAAAAATACAGTAATAATTCGTCTCGATAGTGTGTGGCCATATAATCAATGGGCAATTAGTTGGTATAAATCAGAATTAATGACTACACAAATCATATGAAACAGTAGGTTTTATAAAATTTTCTTTAAATTATATGTCAACTATATATATATGAGAAATAAAATGAAAGAGGGACAATAGATATATACTACGTAGCTTGCAACTATAAATGAACAAAACAAAACCCACGTGGGGAGAAAGGATATGGCGGTTAAGTGTCACGTTAACATGTTGCACCCCTTTGAATTTATTGTTTAATCTAATTAATTAATCTTAGTTTGTAACATATTGATTCATAAGTTCCAAAATTCTTGAAGGCTTTTGTAGTTCTGCCCTACCTAACTAGCAAACCATATTTAATTACAGATGTGGAGGAATGTGGGAGTCCTGGTGGGCTACCTTATCTTCAACAAGCTCGCACTTACTACACCGAACCGCATCGCACAGACGTGGTTTTTCGTGATCCCAATCGTGCCATCGATTCTGCTCACTATAGCAATGGTGGTGATGCCGGAATCCCCTCACTGGCTCATCATAGCCAGGATGAGGGTCGACGAGGCGAAACTGATCATGGAACGCGGCGAGAAAAGCGCAGCTGAGATCGACCGCATAGGGTTTCAGATGGAATACCTAGCGGACCACGTACCTTCGCTCCGCTTCGTGTGGAAGGACTTGGTGCGACCTCCGCTGCGCCACATTGTCACCTCCATCGCGCTCGTGCAGGCGCTTCGACACCTCGGGGTCGACGCCTACCTGAAGCTGGAGAGCCTGCTCACTCTCTACCAAGTCGAGGAGAAGCTGCTGACCAAAGCGAACGGTGCGGTTCTCCTGGTGAAGGCAATCTGCTCCATGATCTCCGGCCGCGTGGCGGACAAAGCCGGGAGCCGGTTCTTGCTGCAGGTCAGCACCGTGCTCACCGTTCTGTTTCTGGTCGGGTTTGGGCTCCCGTTGGTCGGCATGCACAACAATGGCGGCGCCCCTCGTCAGGTGTACGGCGGCAGCAACAAAGTACTCAGCCTGGTGGCCTTCGGGGGGGTCATGGGCTCGTTCCAACTCGGGTTGGGCCCCATGACGTGGGTTTATACAACCGAGGTTTTCCAATACCGGGCCCGGGCCCAAGGTGTCAGTTTCGGGGTTGTCGTCGGCCAGATCGTCGAAGTAATAATGTACGCAGTTTTCCCGCATTTGTTTTGGCCGCCGCTCTACATTGGCGGCGCGTACCTTATACTTGCCGGCGTAATGGTTGTTGGATTTGTGTTCAGCTGGCGGTTAGTTAAGGACAAAGTCGGGGAAATTTTGTGGTAAAGCTACCGATCAATTATTCAAACTTAATCAATGACCGAATATATATTATTATATACTAGTTAAGTACTGGTCCGCGCTTTGTAACGGAACAACACGAATTTAAATCAAACAATAATAAACGGAAAACTCGTATAGTCCATTTATTCCACGTCTGACGGACTGATGAGGATCAATGCACCTCTCTTAAACAAAATTTCACGAGGGAAGAGACTAGAGAACAATAGCAAAGGTTGAGAACAAAAATTAGAGTTATATACACCTAAAAAAATTAGAGTTATATATACAGAGATTATGTTCCAACTAAGCAACTAGGGCTAATAGTCGGTTCGGTTACAATCCCAACCGATTAATCGGTTATCGGTTTACTATTAATTTGTTTTTCCGTTAACCGCACCTATATTAGTCGATTAATCATAACTGTATGATCGGTTATCAGTTTTTTTGTCTAATTCTGATGATGGTCGTAATCGATTAGTAGGTTAACCGTTTAATCATTGATTAATAATCATTTCATCAAATGAAAAGTTACAGGGACTGGTTAGCATTGACAACCCCTAAGGGGGTTGTCAATCTCGCTTCCCTCCTAAGTGTCGTCCGTCCTTCCAATCCTCAATCTAATGGTTCAAAATGGGCAGGGGCAAATAAGAGAGCTCCCACACTGGATTGTGCTCCCCCTAATTCGCTGACGTCAACCTTTTTTAGAAAAGGCAAAGAAATTGGCGAGGGAGAGAAATTAGCCACCCTCCCCGCCGAACCTTTCGTCTCCCCGCTTGTCCGTTCCTCCCCCAAAATCCCTTTTCCTCCTTCTTCTCCCAACATCACAAAAACTCCCCTTCTGTGGTCTCCGATAGTTTTTGGCGGCGGGTCTTGGTAGTTTCATGTCCGGCGAATACTTTGTTGGTCGGGGCAAAGGTAAGGTAATTCATGTATGATCAAAAAAAATTTGCATGGTTATTTGCGATCGGTCTCCATTGATGCTTGGTTTCCCTGACCGATTCGTCGATGATGTCTCTCCTTCCCACTTCGTCTTTTGTTTTGAAATTTTGGTTTGCTAACCTAGTTTTGATCTCCTTCTTTTTAATGGCGTAGGCGAACCTCCTTCGGCCATTCTGATTTTCAGCGTCCGTGAAGACAATCGACGGTGACCTTCTGGTTTTTGTTTTTCGGATTCAACGTTGGAGTAAGCCACATGCAGGTCTGTCTTTGTTGTTTGGTGTTTTTCTTTGTTGCTGGTATGATCTACAGGTAGTATTAAGAATAGTACCAATGCAGAGGTAGTTTTGGTACTGGTACCAGTTTGATTCATTTTGGTCTGATTTTCTGGTACTTTTTCTTGTATCAGTACCACTAATTTGGTACCACTAATTGTACCAACATGTAGAAGTAGTACTGGTGTTTTTGTTTGTTGTTGGTATGATCTACCAGTACTATAAAGATTAGTACCTATGCTAGAGGTAGTTGTGGTACGTGTACCAGTTAGATTCGTTTGTGGTAAGATTTTATGGTACTCTTCTTTTGGTACCAGTACCACTGATTTGGTATCACTAATTGTCCCAATATGTAGAAGTGGTAATGATGTTTTCTTTTGGTACTTTTCTATTGATATTGGTTTTTTCTATTGGTACCACTAATTGTCCCAATATGTAGAAGTAATTTTCTATTGGTACCACTAATTGTCCCAATATGTAGAAGTAGTACTGGTGTTTTCTTTTGGTATGATTTTCAGGTACTTTTCTATTGGAACCAATAGTAGTATTGTACCAGTAGCATTGTACATTGCCAGTAGTACTTCTAGTGATACAAATCGACTTGTGATGTTGCAGCAATGGCCAGAACAAAGATCCCAGCTACAACATCCCCTGTAACACAACAACCTTATGCAGGAATGACCAAAACAAAGATACCAGCGACGACATCTGCGAAAAACAAACAACCTGCTGGTTATGTTTCTCGGCAGGTAGCAGTCCGCTTGGGGGAATCTAGTGATTCTGGTGCTGGGCCTATTAAGAAACGGCCAGAGAGTTTCAGGAAGGAGAAGAAGCAACGGACTGCGCGATGACAACCTTCACTGTTAACCGGAACAGGAGCTATACCAACCAATGTCAATCTGTATGTCCTGTTGGTGTGGTTCCTTGATAGGACGGTAGACAACTTGCAGCTTGCATTAGGTATGCTCAAATGGTCCAGAAAGCCATTGAAGACCCAAGGAAATGACTAGTAAAGCTATTGACATGCAAGAGGCACTACTACGTGGATATACCAGGTGTCACAGCAGTAGTAGGAAGATTAGTTCATGTACGTTTGTAATTATGAACAAGTTTGTTGTGGTGTTTGTTTGCTTTAATTTGATCTTGGACAAAGCATTGTTCCTTACATTGGCACAATGGTTTTTTGTTGGATTGTGAGAATTAAGTACCTTATTACTAGTTATTTTAACTACAAATTTGGACACATGAACCAGCACGTTGTTATTACTAGAATTAAGTACCTTACATTAGCACAAATGAACCATCACGTTTTGCTCATGGAAGAGGCTTTTCGTCAAGAGTTGTTGGAGCAGTTAAGAAGAAAAGGTCATACTTCCCCGAACCATTTGTTTTTTACTTTGGAGGTGAGTCTGAGTCGTAGCAGTACAGGTGCAATGCTCTGGAGTGGTACTGGTACGAATGATACTGATACTAAATTAGTGGGACTGGTGTCATTTTTCGGTACTGGTACTAAAGCAGTGGTACTGGTGCCCATCTAGCAGTCCTGGTACCAATACAGTGGTACTGGTGCCATTCTAGCATTACAGGTACCAAATCAGTGGTACTGGTACCATTACCATCCTAGTGGTACTAGTGCCATTTTTCACACAACAATATTTGTACCAATATTAAAGCGGTACAAATGCAAAAGAAGTTGTAACGACACCAGTAAACCCTACCGCCATTGCTGCCGTCCACGTCGTCGTCAACATCAACACGATTGCCGGAATGCGGCACGAACTCGTCGTTGTTTTCCACGTCGAGTCCACATTGGACGTTTTCTGTGTTTTCGTACCATTCAGGATGATCTTCGTTCAACGCCTCCTCCACGTCCAGAACGTCGTCAACGTCCACCATGCACACATATGCGCCATTTACCGCCAAATTCGTCTGCTTAACATCGCAGTCGTATGTATCCTCATCGTTGATTGTCAGTGGGACGTTCAGGTCGAACCCAAATCTCGTTCCCTGTATGTATCGTTGTAGATTTGATTCCTCCCCATTCACTGGCGTCGTCGTTGCTAATGTAGTCATCCATGGCGGTGGCGGCCGTCGCGTGGCTGGTATTTTCCCGTAGCTAGATGAGGGGTTTGGTTTGATGAGGGAGAAGTCAGAAATGGAAGGGAAAGAGTCCCGTCTTGTCCGCTCCCCAAATCTCGTCCCCTAAATCACGTTCCCGGATTCTCTCCACTCAATTAATCTTCTGTTTAAATTATTAGAATATTGTGCTGACTAAAAAGCCCTTCCTGTAATCCTGGCCGCTAGATGAAGAAGGGGAACAGACGGCATTGAGGAGGGAAGCGAGATTGACAACCCCCTTAGGGGTTGTCACGGTAGCCGGCCCCAAATAAACTAATATAAAAGCATTCCTATAACTAAACATTCATTACAAATCAGTCCTCGGATTTGTCTTCCTCCGACAACTAAGTGAATGTGGAGATATGGGGGTTTAGGACAGAGACGGTGGCGGAGCTATGTTAATAGCAAGTAAGGTTGTAGTCCTTTCAACTCTCAAAATTATGTGAAAATAAGGCAAAATTTGTAAACAATTTGAAAAATATAGTATTGTATAAGACTTTAACTCTCTTGCCAGTTTAAATTCTCTATGAGTAGATTTTTAGTCATCTCGTTTAAATTTTTGGCTCCACCATTAAATAAAGAGATGCGGCCGCAAGACGATGAAGGGCTACAATATGTAATAATATTTGACTCAAGATGTATTTAAGAACTGGGTATGAGACTTGAACAGAATGCTAAGAGTTTATAATTAAATAACAGTGAATAAAATAGGAACCAGAAATTGGATAATCTGATTTCCCTTTCTTCAATTCATCCTAGGAAAATGCCATATTTTATTCTTATCACATATAATATTCATATCATATAATTATATTTGGGAACCAAGAAACAACTACTAGTTCAATCCTAATTAAACTTGATTCGGAACTGTGTTTGCCACAGTGTTGTCCGAATTTTCCTTTGAACTTGAAGGACGACATTTCTTAAGACAATTATCATCACATAGCCATGGTCCATCATTACAATGTCCCATGCATTCTGCATAGCACTTGTAGACAGGATCAACATTCACCCCTCGATACTGAAATGACGGAGTAATCAATAAGAACAAGATTATGACCACAACGGAAAAACTCCAAATCACGTTGGCCTTCATACTGTGCATCGTTGATATTGTTTCACCCCCAACACCTTTAGTATGAATGAGTTTAAGCCTTTTGAGGTCTTGTGGTTCGAATTACATTGGGGTAATCATTTTATAGATTTTCATTTCACAAAAAAATAAAGTTTCTTCCTTTCATAAATATGGAAAAAAATCTACACAATAAATTCATTATTATCCAGATTCTATGTGCATTTAATTTATATGGATTTTACTATTTTAGCACAATCTCTATCCATTAAGATATAGTAAAATTTAAATTCGTCTGATGACATTAATATTTTTTTACTACTCTACCATAACTTCAAAGGTTGGAGCGTTAAATATAACAAAATTTCTAGCAAAAGCACAAAAGTCTACCATAACGTTACAATCAATTGTAACCATGCATGAGCTAAAAGTAGTGGTATTTGAGATTTTATTGACTTTGACTAACGTTACATAATGCATGTTTTCCCCCCTAAAATCTTATAAAATGCATGCATTTATTTTTCCATGTGAGTTTTCAGATAATATAATTTCATTTTGAATAATTGAAAGGAAACCTCTTATCTTATGACACCTCCGTTTCCCAACTCGCAACGACGATCAATCCAATATTAAATAAAATATGGCCATAATTTGGGAGTTTGGTTCATCGAAAATGTCTCCAAAAGGGACCCTCTATTTTATATGCGGAAACTAAACATTTATCCAAACTCAGTTTTCATCTTATCCCATGTAGTCAAAAGCGAGTTTCTACCTATAAACGTTTTGGTGATCTAGAAGCGTAAAATCGTAAGTTTTTAAGTTTTGAAGTGGAGTTTTTAACTACATAAGTTATAAAAACTGAGATTTTGTGTAGAAGTGATTTAGTGACCTAGAAACGTAAAATCGTAAGTTTTTAAGTTTTAAAGCGCGATTTTGACTACATTGATCTTATCTTCTCCCTTTTCAAATCATCATATCCAGCAATGAGTAGGAGTGAAAATAGATACGATATCGGTATCCTAATACCAAATTTCCAGCCTCTTTTTCTTTGCTATGCCTTATGGGAGGGATATCCAAATTAGCGTGCTTCCATGGTTTCAACAATAAAAGTAGCAGAACGTGTTCTGATTCAGAGGACCTTGCATATATATGGCGACTTAATTATTTTTTTTATTGCTGTCTTCTCTTTCCCTCCTCCTACAACAGCTCTTCCTCTCGGACCATTCTAGGCTGTCTCCCGAGTAATCTGAATTAATTTTATATGAGATGAATTTGTGACTCGATCAGCTATCGATGAATTCACTTTCTTTTGTGTTTGAATATATATGCATTTAGGTTGATCTACGGTTATGTGTGTTCAATCTGTTTAGGCTGATCTACGTACGGTTGCACTGAACAACTCACGACCACAATCATTCCATCTTTCCCCCTGGTACGTACTTTCGTTGTTTTAGTGAACCAACTTTTTAATCCAGTCTTATATGTTTCATTTGACAGGTGCCAACAAATCATAGCATTAATTTTACTTCTTTGGGTGGCTGCAAAGGAAAGGAAAGGAAAGGATTATATGCAGTCGTATCGTAGAGATTGAGGCGGTTGTCTTGGAATTTAGTATTGATCGATGCCCCTATTACTTATTAATAGTTCCGTTTTCCTTTGTTTTCCTTTTAATTGCAATTCTTATTTTACTTTCTTTAACACAAATAACATTTTTATTACAATAACGTAATTATTTTGTAACTAAGAAACTACTTCTGGTTTACTCCTAAGCTTTATTTGGAACTATGCTTGTTACAATATTTACCGAATCTTTCTTCATACTTGGAGGACGGCATTTATTAAGACATTCATCATCGCAGACCCATGGTCTATTAGAGATAGTACAGAAAATTAAAAAGGCTTTTTATTATTTTCCCGGTTATTCTTTTCTGTTGCTATTTCTCTGGGACGTGCTAAGTGGGTTGCCTAGGTTGTTGGCTACCACTACTTTCACTCCGCTGATCTCTGTATAAATCTCCCACTGTAAATCCAATACTAATCAAGTTCTGTTCTCCTCACAACAATAATATTCACCAAAGCCTTTCATGGTATCAGAGCTAGTCACGATCAACTAGATCCGATCCAAGTTTCATTCCTTATTCACCTCTCTGTTTATTCATACCCTCAACAGCAGCATGTCTAGCTCAACCATCTCCAACAGCTCAACACCCTCCGAGGATGCCATCATCACATTCAATCCTGCTGCCCAGCTGCCCTTGAAACTCACCCCGACCAATTTCAATTCGTGGCGGTCGCAGCTGGAGACGCTCCTCATGGGTCTGGACCTTATTAGCTTTATCGATGGCACCGGCGTCATTCCTGCTCAAACGATCACAGCAAACAACGCCACCACTCCCAACCCTGCATATCGCCATTGGTTTCGACAAGATAAGCTGATTTTGCACGCCCTTCGATGCTCTATATCTGAATCTTTGTATTCATATGTTTCTGCTGCTAAGACCTCTCGTGAAGCTTGGTCAATCCTGGAAAAGCTTTATGCTGGCCGTTCCCAATCTCGCATCATTAATCTCAAAGGGAAGCTGGGTCGTATAGTCAAAGGAAATCGTGATGTCGTTTCTTTTGTTAATGATTTGAAACAAACCGCTGCCGAACTTGCACTTGTTGATGATCCTGTTTCAGACCTAGATCTGGTCGTCCACTGTCTTCGAGGACTTGGCCCGGACTATAATTCATTCACTGCAGCGGTCCGTGCTCGAGGCTCCACCGTCACAATTGAGGATCTTCTGGATTCCCTGGTCGAGTACGAGGCGGACTTGAAAGAGCAATCTCGGCTCTCCTCTGTTCCAACCGCGTTCTACTCACAGGGGACGATGCGGCGTGGCGGCGGCGGAAACTCAGCATACTCTCGGCCGAGAAATCCCCAGCACCAGGG